CCACTAAGAAAAGGAACAACGCCACCCTCCCTAGAAATGTTTCATTAAATATTTGGAGAATCAAGACTATCTTTTCTAATATGCAAACTCAAACCTTTCTTCTGCAATTTTTATCACCTGAGTTCTTTGTTAAGTGTTAGACTTTAATTTTAAAACAAAACCTAAAATAATACACAACAAAAATTGCTTTAGCTTAGAAGAATATTGTCTGCCTAAATAGGGCCAACCCTCTCCATTTTCAATGAAATTTGCATATGATACAATGCACATGGTGTAATATATGGTGATACGTTACATAAAAGGATAGTATTGTGCTGTTCTCCTTTCTCCTATTTCCATATTTTAATATGCTAGTCATATTAAAAAGCAGAAGATTGACTCATAGTATTTCAGAGTGTGCATGTAATGTTATTATCACACATCTACAGAATTCTCTATGGTTGATGCTTTCTTGTTTGCTTCAATCCCACTAACACTGCAGCAGGGGAAGTCATATTAAACCCATTCTTCTTCTTTGAGGCTGAGACTCTGAGAAGTCAAGGAACTCGTCCGGAGTCCTGATATTTAAAAACGGCCAAGCGCGGACTTGAACCCAAGTATTCCAGACCCAAGTCGAGGACTCATCTCACTGTAGCATTGTCACACCTACCACCTAAAGTCTCAGCCAGACTGATGACACTTGAATCAGCTTACATTCGAAGAAACCACACCGGATCCGTATTGCATCCCTTCTACAGCAGCAGCAAGGTGTTATTTCCTACAGTGGGAAACTGATAACCTGATTACACGTTCTTCTTATTCTGAAGGGCCAGTCTTTGATCTTGAGTTTTTTGCCTCCCAAAATTTGGGCTGGGATGAGCACACAGATGTGCTTGGGGCCTAATTGTAGCACGAATCTTAAAAGGTCTTATTAATAAAAACAAACCCGGAGCCAGCGTTGGGGTGAATGCTGGAAGATCAGAGAAGCAGAACAACCACAGCCACCTCACCTTGCCAATTCCTCAGCTGATCCTGTTTCCTCAGACTGGAAGCTTCTGAGTTCTCATCCAGAGTGAATCTCAGCTGAACTGCTGCTCAAAGCCTGAAAGCTTAACCAGCTCTAGTTCCTGGTCCTCACGCCTGCCTTAAATACCTTTCTGCTTCCTGCCATCACTTTCCTGTGATTAAAGGCTCTTGTTACCATGCCTGGCTGTTTCCAGTGTGGCCTTGAACTCACAGAGATCCAGGCAGATCTCTGCCTCTGGAATGCTAGGATTAAAGGCATGTGTGCCATCATTTCCTGGCCTCTATATCTAGTGGCTGTTCTGTTCTCTGACCCCAGATAAGTTTATTAGGGTGCACAATATTTTGGGGAACACAATATCACCACATCTAATAATAGAATCATTAGGTTGATTTGCCAACTCCACCTGCTTCTTTCCTAAACAGCTTCTTCAACAAAAAGGACCAGAATCTGTTGTTTTGTTTTGTTTTTCCAGACAGGGTTTTTCTGTGTAGCTTTGCGCCTTTCCTGGATCTCGCTCTGTAGACCAGACTGGCCTTGAACTCACAGAGATCCACCTGCCTCTGCCTCCCGAGTGCTGGGATTAAAGGCATGCGCCACCACCACCCGGCCAGGACCAGAATCTGAGATGTGAACTTTTAATATATTCTTCTTCTGTTAGACTGACTCCCATGTCTGTGTTCTCAGCCTTAGGACCAGAGCCCTCAAAGAATTCTAGGCCAGGCATATTAGGACACCTGCAAGGCCAACACTAGGGAGGCCGAGACTGGAAGATCAGGAGTTCAAAGCCATCCTCAGATACATAGGAAGCTCAAGACCAATTTGGGTTACAGAAGAGTCTGTCTTAAAAAACAAAACAAAACAACAAAGGATAATTTCAGATCTAAACATGTCCATGTTCTATATTTGTCTAAGCACATCATATATAGTAGGAAATCAACTTTATTTCATTTTGGGGGTTGGATCCACTCAGACCCTCAGGTGAATTTCAGTAGACCAGTTAGAAAATTCTTTACCACAGGCTACTCTAGCCAGTGAAACTATGAAGGAGAATGGGGAGCTAGGGGGATTGGACTGCTAGGTTTCTAATCTTTTCTGCCCGAATTTCAAGAGCCAGCAGGGATTTAGGAACATTGAGGGTTTTGTTTGCTTTTCTGTTTCTTTGTTTGAGCCGGGCTCTCATTATGCAGCCTTGGCTGGCTAGGAACTTGCTGCATAGACCAGGCTGTCCTTGAACTTAGAGATCCAACTTCCTCTGTCTGCAAGTGCTGGGAGTAAAGGCCTGTGCCCCATGCTTGGTAATTTTGGAAAGTTTGAATGTACTCCCTATCAGAAAGAAGAGTGGCAGGGACTGCTGAACGAGACAGCACAACACATCTGGAGAATGGAGCCCAACACCAAACACACCGACTGTGACTGAAGTACCTTTGGCTCAGCCTTTTTTTTTTCCTTCTCTCTGTCATTAATAATTGACTATAGAGGACACTGAGTTCAACGATTAAAGAGGAAATGTATCTTCCCAACTCCCAGGCAGAAACATGCTGTTTATTAGACACCTTTGGAGTTTACTTCTTCCTTTAGACTCCAAATTGGTTCCTCAACTAGTGGGAGAGAAGGCTCTCTCTGGGATGAGAGAAAGGTAGTGAATGAAACAGGACAGCCACGTCACACTTGGGTCTAACTCAGGTTGAGGTTCGGGAATAATGCCTGGTCCTTAGACTCAAGAGTCCCATCCTCCGGGGAGAACATTTGAAAACAAGAGGAAAAGTTGGAGGGAAACTACGGTGATCCCCCTCCCACTGCCAAGTGTGAATGAAGTAGGAAGGAACCGGCTCCCTCCCACCTCAATAACCACTTTTCAAGCTTCAGTCCTCTGCACGCCACCCTTTCCATCTTGTTCTCCTCTCCTTTGCACACACCCCTTTGGCAAGTGAACATTCTCTCCTCTCCCGCTCCAGTCCCATCGCGTCTTTCTTAAAGAAGTTACTAACTGGTCCCTCCCCTCCCCGACCTGTCTGGGTCTAAAACAGAGCACATGTGCAGAGAGGAGGGGGTGAAGAATCAGAGAAGTGTTTTGAGCTCTTTCTCCTTGAGGGCTAAGCAAGACTCAGAGTGGCCAGGAAAACGAAGGGGTGGGGGCGACTCCCACGATGCAGAATAGAAAGAGGCACTATGACTAGAGAGCCAGACAAGGGCCACTGGGGGGATGGGAGCCAGCAAGGCAGAGAAACACAGATGGAGACAAGTTGGGGCCCTCGAAGAGAGGAATGCGGCCTGGCTTTTTTTAGGATAAGGAAACCTGAGAGGTTTCAAGGATTGCCCCAGACTTGTCCCACCTGCTCTGGCTTCCTCCCCTGAGCACCAGTGTTTACTGACATCTCTTCCTGAACTCTTGCCCTCCTGGACTTGCCCTACCTCAGGCCCCAGGCCTGTGGTCAGGCAGACACCCTGACACGTTACAAATGAGAGTGGGTGTTGGATTCTTGTCCTCAGAGTCCGGAGGAGGAGAATCAATGGCCTCTACCCAAGAGCTTCTCTTCTAATCCCAACCTGCCCTCTGCGAGAGTGAGCAAGGCACTTCCTGTGTTCCCTTCCCCAATCTTAACCCAACAGGCAGCAAGAAAAAGTGAAGTCCCACTTCTAAACCTTAGTTTAGAAATCAAAGCCTCAATAACTCTGCACCAATTCTCCCATTCTCCAAGCAAACTAAACTTTACCTATTCTAGAACACTCATGGAAAATTTGGGTAATCGTTAACACTTAACTAACATTGGATTTATAGACTTGAGACTTGAAATTGAAAAAAAAAACTTTCAGAGAGACTAAGGATAATGAGGTGGGGGAACTAGAGGAACGCAGGGTCTTTACTAGTTTTAAACACTTTTGAAAAGAGAATAAAAATTCCCTTCCTTCTCATCCCCCAGTAAACATCACCTGGCTCACTCATTGCTGCTCTCTGGAGAGATATAGGGAGTTATTTAAGTCTGAGTGAGTGAGCCAGCTACAGCTATGGATGGCTAGAGAGAGGATAAATACATCTAGAGAGATGAGTTGATGGATAGGCAGGGAACGAATATAAATATGGAGAGAGATGGACGAAGAGAAAGATGAATTGAGACAGAGAGAATATAAAGAGAGGCTGAGGGAGAGAAATGGATGTGTGAATGAGGAGAGAGCGTTTATGCAGAGAGAGGAATGGGGCGTTTCTCATCTTCCTCTTCATGTTTCTGGAGTCCTCGCTGGTCCCCCTGAAATGCCATTTTCCCACTCCTTGATTCCTAATGAATTCTCCTGGATTTTAGAGCCTGGCTCACACCCTGAGGTGTTTTTACAGCTTCCCGGCCTTTCTAGTCATCCTTTTGTCCCATGATAACATACTTCACCAGGCTGCCCTAGCCCAGTCATTCCAAGACAAACTGGGAGAAAGGAACATAGAAAGGGGGTTCTGGGCAGAGCATGGAGTCTGCTCTCCCATCTCTTGCTCTACTGCCTTGGGTGGGGGTAGGTTTCTTTGAGGGGAGAAGAGAGTGAGGGGCAGCTGGGTTGAATTTGTCCAAATCTAATAATCCAAGAACCTATTGAAGGCCTTGGGGGTTGGGAGGGGAGCAAAGTCTTGAATATTCTTCCAACTTCTCCCCCCTTCTCCCTCTGGTCCCTTCTTTCCAAAAAGTCTTTGAAGAAAGATGTTTTTGACGCTTCCATGTCGCTCTCAGATGGATGGGCTGAGAGTGATTGAAATGTCTTTGTCATGCTAATGCTTGGGGGGTGATGGATGGGCGCCGGGGCTGCCAAACTCTGGCCCGCTTAGCCCATTGGCCTGGGAGAGATCACATGTGCCCCCCCACCCCCACTCCCTATCCCCTTCCTAGGGGAGCGCTGGCCGGGGCAAGCTGGCCCAGGCCATGGACTCAAGCCTCAGAGCTGTGACATACTGCCGAAAGGTTGTAGGGCAAGAGGGTGTCTCCCCCAAACTGCCGGACCCTCCTTCAGCCTCTACATGGACTATAATAGGATGAATTCCTTTTTAGAGTATCCACTTTGTAATCGGGGACCGAGCGCCTACAGCGCCCCAACCTCCTTTCCCCCCAGCTCAGCTCCAGCCGTTGACAGCTACGCAGGGGAGAGCCGCTATGGTGGAGGGCTGCCCAGCCCAGCGCTCCAACAAAACTCGGGGTATCCTGTCCAGCAGCCACCTTCATCCCTGGGGGTGTCCTTTTCCAGCTCCGCTCCCTCGGGGTACGCCCCAGCGGCCTGCAACCCCAGCTATGGGCCTTCTCAGTACTATTCTGTGGGTCAGACGGAAGGAGATGGAGGCTATTTTCATCCATCGAGCTACGGAGCCCAGCTAGGGGGTTTGCCCGACAGCTACGGAGCGGGTGGAGTCGGCCCAGGGCTGTATCCTCCGCCGCAGCCCCCTTACGGAACTGAGCAGACCGCAAACTTTGCACCAGCCTACGAACTCATCTCTGAGGACAAGGAATCATCCTGTTCTTCAGAACCCAGCACTCTCACTCCACGGACCTTCGACTGGATGAAGGTCAAGAGAAACCCACCTAAGACAGGTAGGGCTCAGAGTGGTCACTTCCTCACCTTGGCCTAGGCATGCACAGAGGGCCCTGGGATAGGGTATGGTTCATCCCTTCATGCTTTGGTATTGGCAGGTAAGTATTCAGGTCGGCTGAGATTTCCCCATCGGGTAAGTTTGGGGCCACCTCCTTAAGGAGGTCTCTGCAATCTACTTCCTTGTCCATGGGCCCAGTTTGGAACCAGTATCTCATGTTTCTTTCTGAAGGTGAGTATGGATGGGAGATTGGTTCTAGATTTGGAAATTGCTGATGGAGGGTGTGTGTGGTTCTGCATAGGGACTTAAGTTTGAGTAGAATGATGAATGAGGATACAGAGTGGATTGGGAGGAGTGGCGGGGAGGGAGAAAGAGAGGAGAGAACTGACGCGGCTTTTCTCCCCGCCCCGCCCCTAGCGAAGGTGTCGGAGCTGGGACTGGGCACTCCCGGTGGCCTCCGCACAAACTTCACCACGCGCCAGCTGACCGAGCTGGAGAAGGAATTTCATTTCAACAAATACCTGAGCCGCGCGCGGAGGGTGGAGATCGCCGCCACCCTGGAGCTCAATGAAACACAGGTGAAGATATGGTTCCAGAACCGGCGCATGAAGCAGAAGAAAAGAGAGCGAGAGGGAGGCAGGGTGCCTACAGCCCCTTCAGGTTGCCCCAAGGAAGCGCCAGGAGATGCCTCCGACCAGTCCACGTGCACCTCCCCAGAAGCCTCGCCCAGCTCCATCACCTCTTGAGCTATCCGGCTTGCAGCGCTGGACCCAGTCCTATCATAGACTCTCCCAAACTTCACAGCCCTGGTTATCCTCCTCAAGGCCGCGCAACCAGTTTAGAGGAAACTGGGCAGGAGTGGGGAAACGTAATTTTTCTCAGATCTGGGGGTGGAGGGATGACTGATAGCTGGGGATCCTACAGGTCTTGGGATTTGGGGAGTACCCAGCCATCAAAGGTGGAGAAAAGGCCTTTTGCCTTTGATCTAGAGATTGGCTCAATGTCAACACTCTAGTGGGGGTAGGAGCCAGCTCACCCTGGATTCTCCTTTCCCTCCCGACTGGAGTTCAGTGCCTTTGAGCTTGGAGAATTCTCTTTGAGCACTCTTACCCCAACTCCCCTTGCTAGACCTGGGATAGAAAGAATCCTCAGGATTTTCCTGTGGGGGATGTGTTGGAGTGCAGGCACATTACCAGCAATCTTTAATCTTAATCCTTAATCCGGCCAGCTCACCGCAGACCTTACAATAGCACCGACTGCCTTGTGACATGCCAAAAAAAAAAAAAAAAAAAAAAAAAAAAAAAAAAAAAAAAAACCCAAACAAACAAACAAAGAAACGAAAAACACCCTGTCCCAAGCAATCCCACAAACTCTTTCCTGGCACATCTCTATTGCACTAATGCAGCCTTCTGAGGCTGTTTTGTGAGACCCGCCCCTTCCCACGGGCATCGCCATCACTAAATCACCAAAGTGTTTTGGAAGTTGGTACTGTTTCTGGAGCATCATTGCAAGGACCGTCTCAAGTAATCCTCAACCAAGAAAGGGTGGGCACTACCCCCTCCTCACCTCCTCTCCCCCTATTTATTGCCTCTGGAAACCCCCCACCCCATTCTCTTTTCCACAAGCCACCCTACCCCTGGGGCAGTCTGGACAGGTCCAGGAATAGCGACTGAGTTCCCAGCAGATTCCAGCATTTTCCTGAACTTTGAAGACAGCAGAGAGGCCATTTGAGTTTCTGGAAAACTATGTCCCAAGCAAGCCAGGTTCCCTTTGTATCTAAGCTACCTCATTTCAATAAAGTCTGTTTCTCCCTTTCCTTCTGCTTCTGCTTCTCTATCTTGGGCTGGAGGAGACTGTGAACTTTACCAGCCCATTGACTGGTTGGGCCAGGAGAAGTCAAGATAATGAGAACTGAGCGGGGCCCCAACCAAGGCAGAAGTGGGCCCCAGACACCTAGTAGTCCACTGATCTTTTGGGAGAACCCAGAAGCACATGGTGGAAGGTGGGAGAGCCAGACAGTTCTGAGATGGTCTTGAGAAATGGGTGGGGAAGGAGGGAAACAGATCTGTTAGAGATGTCTGAAAGAGGGTATAAGGGGATTTGGGGGGAATGGCAGAGGGGACTCTACCTGTTCCCTTTCTCTCTACTCCCCCCACCTCCCCTAGGGCTTGCATTGGACCCTACTAACTGTAAAGACAGCAGGCTTGAAGCTATGGGATGTCACACTCTCATTCTTGCTCCCAGAGTTGGAAGATGAGTCATTGGCAAAGTCCTCACTAGCACACACATTAAGCCCCAATTCCAGCCCTTCCACACAGGAATATCAGATTGAGTCATCTGCAATTGACCAGTCATTTGGCTAAGGCCCAAGGTACTGAACCACAGGAAGGAGGTGGCTTTGGAAGAGATACGTGAGGGATGGCAGTAAGGAGATGCTCAAAGGTGGATGGGGGAGGTGCTGGGGATTGGGTGAACGAACAGTGGGGCCTGGGGGTGGACAGAGGCAGCAGAGGTATACCAGGATCCTGAGCTGACCTTTTTACCTCTAAGCACCTCTAGGCTTTCCAAACAAGCCTGCAGTGCGCCCAGGGGGCAACTATTGTCTCCCCGCCAGCACCACTGGCAAATCTTTAGTAAGCAGAGGCAGGGGGGCCGTGCCTCTGGAAGCTGCGCAGAAGTGGCAAACTGCAGTCACTCTGGGCTCCAGAACGCCATTGAAATGACAGGGGGCTCCAGGCTCTAAGCCTAGTCTATTGATTCTGGTGACCCAGAGACCCCCTAAGCTCTAGGGCCAGGACCATACCACTGGGGTGCAGTGATGGTGAAGACAGGTCTTATCTGCCCCCCAATCCATTTAATTCGTGACCTTGCAAAGGAAGACAGGCAGCAAAAAGGACTGAACGCTTGTAAGCAATGCTAAGCGTTTGTTTCCTCGTGAAATTGGTGCCATTAGGCGAGAGGCAACGTTATCAATAATTGCACAGCTCAGCTGGAGAGGAAGAGAAGCATTTAAGAGGAAGCCCAGCTTTCCCAGAGGTTGCTTTCTTGTCCTGTCTTAAAAGGAAAAAAAAAATCTATTAACTGCTTTTCTCCATTTAATTGAAATTGCCATCAAGCTTGGCTTCCCCAAAGGGGTCACCTTGACAGGAGAGGCCAGAGCAAGTGTCTTTGAAACAAATTTCCTCTTGCTTGAAGCTGTTTAATATCAACTGGTTAGAGCTCTTGGTTGGGTATTTATGGAGCCTCCAACTGTTAGCTCCTATGGACAAGTGAGCAGTGGTTAGGGCAGGGCTGGACTATAAGGATGGTAGAGCCAAAGGAGTCTCAGACTTGGGGTGACAGGCCCCGGGGGCAGGGGAGGGTGATCGAAGGGCCTGGAGGAAAGCAGAAGGCCTTTGATTTTTGGTTATAGCAGAAGGAACCAACAGATTCCTCCAGGGAAGGTGTGTGTGTGTGTGTGTGTGTGTGTGTGTGTGTGTGTGTGTGTGTGTGTGTGATCAATTCTTCATTAACAAGATGCAGGCTGAAAATAATCCACAATGGTCAGAGTCTTCCATTTCCTTAGATACAAAACTCCAGACTCCATTGCACGCTTTCTTACTTGAATCCCACTTCCAACCAAGGCCCTGGAAGGAATGGGTTTGCTGGAAGGTGTTTATTTGGAGAAACAAACAAACAAGCATCATGGTATAGTCTTCTCTCACAAATGTCAAAAGAGAGTCTGGTAAACAGAAGAGCAAAAATGCCTTTTGTTCCCATTGACTCAAATTGGTGATTTGCATTGTCAAACTCCCCAAAATAGATGCCCAAATATTTCATTCATAGACTCTTCCACACCTCTCAGAGAGGTACTTTTTTTTTCTGTGTGCACAAATTGAAACCCATCTATTTCCACATCTCCATTTACTAGATTGAGGCCAGCCTGGGCTACCAAGTGAGTTCCAGGAGAGGCGCAAAGCTACACAGAAAAACCCTGTCTCGAAAAACCAAAAAAAAAAATAAATAAATAAAAAAAATAAAAATAAAAAAAATCCAATTTTGCAAATGAATCCCTCTCCATATAATCTTGGTTTTTCATGGGAAGGAGAATTCTCAGGGCTGGTTGGAACATCTCTAAGAAGCCTAGCCCTTCTGATCTCCAGGCAGTCGTTGGCAGTGAAGTGGGACCCCATCCAATCTACACCATCTGTTCTCCGCCCAAGTGTGAACTTTTCCTCCTTTTATTTGCCCTTTCCTCAACATTTGCTCTCTCAATGTGAGGTCCTTTGATCTCTTGGGTGAGGGAGAAAGATTTTGAAAACCTCCAACCTCTTGTTTTGATTTGTAAACCCCGGGATTTCTTTGCTATGGGCATTCCTTGCAACAGTACCCTTGGGTGGTTGGTCAGAGTCAGGGCAGAGAAAAGGGAGTAGATGGAGAAGTTAAGAGGTGATGAAGGTCAGAATGGTCTAGAGAGAAGGACCACGGTGTTGGGAAACTATCCAGGTTGCAGTGCTGAAATCTACGCCCTGCTTCCTGATAGCCTTGTGGGTCTTGGGCTAGGGGCTGATTTCTTCCATCCAGTTTCATTGTCTATGGAGTGAGGATAAGTTTAGCACCAGTGTCATAGGACTGATGTTGCAATTAAGTTAGTTAACACGTTAAAAATGTTCATGCCGGGCGGTGGTGGCGCACGCCTTTAATCCCAGCACTCGGGAGGCAGAGCCAGGCGGATCTCTGTGAGTTCGAGGCCAGCCTGGTCTCCAAAGCGAGTTCCAGGAAAGGCGCAAAGCTACACAGAGAAACCCTGTCTCGAAAAACCAAAAAAAAAAAAAAAAAAAAAAAAAAAAAAAAAAAAAAAAAAAAAAAAAAAAAACACGTTAAAAATGTTCATAAATAAAGATGAGTTAGAACAACTATTATCACTGTGTAAAGGGATATGTCTGCTTCCCTTCCCATAGCCCCCTTCTATTGCAGGGAGTATCTTGGCTATGTCACCCCCCACACTTACTCTTATTTGATCGCTGGCAGGTGTATAGGGCTAGGGACAGGTAGAAGGGGTCCCCTTATCAGTGGCCGACAACACTTTATGTCATCTGTTTGAGCTTTCTCCTCCTTTTCCTTATTTCATCCTGACTACCTATCAAGGAGGTGAACTGTCTCGGCCTCTTCTCCTCCTCCCACTTCTGCATCATGGGAAGATGGACAGAAAGCCTTTAGAAGTCCTTGGTATCCTTTTGAAGATGGATGCTTTAAATTCTTGATTAGAATGGCGGAGGGCAAACATTCTGAACTACAAGTTAGTTTTCAGTGTGGTCCCCATCCTGCTGGGTGGGTGAGCTCATGCCAGTCTGTTTCCCTAGGTTCCAGTCCTTCAGATACGATGTAGACGATGTGGAAGCCATATATATATATATATATATGAAGTCCTCAGGATGCTGTCTGGCACAGAGTTAAGTGTGCAGAGAGATTTCTTGTTTTATGTGACTACAGAAATACATTTTCTATTACTCTCTTACACCGAGTTAATTATAACCCTGGCATAATAGACGCAGGCATCCTCCAGCCTTCACCCCTTATGCTGCACCAGCAGACCCAATTGGCACTCAAGCCACAGGACTTGCTGCCAGGGAATAAAATAATTATGAACGAAAGGATGCAGAAGAGTCCCACAGAACACTGTTTAATAGTAAAGGCAGCCAGGCGGTGGTGGCGCACGCCTTTAATCCCAGCACTCGGGAGGCAGAGCCAGGCGGATCTCTGTGAG